AGTCGCACATCGTTATTCATCAATCCCTCATGTTGGTCAGCTAGGTCGCACATCCTACCATCAATCACTATGTTGGTCAGTTAGGTCACACATCGTAATTCATCAATCACTATGTTGGTCAGCTAGGTCACACATCTAACCATCAATCCCCATGTTGGTCAGCTAGGTCATTACATCGTACTCATCCATCCCTATGTTCGCCAGGTAGGTCACACATCGCACCATCAATCTCCATGTTGGTCAGGTAGGTCACATATCGCATCATCAATCACTATGTTGGTCCGCTTAGGTCACACATTGTACCATCATTCCCTATGTTGGTCAGCTAGGTCACACATTGTACCATGAATCCCTGTGTTGGTCAGCTAGGTCACACATCGCACTCATGAATCCTCTCATGTTGAACAGCTAGGTCACAATATTGTACCATCAATCCCCATGTTGGTCAGCTATATCGCACATTGTACCATCAATCCCTATGTTGGTCAGCTAGGGTCCCACATTGTACCATCAATCTATGTTGTTAAACTAATTCACACGCCGTTAATTCATCGATACCTATGTTGGTCAGCTAGGTCACACATCGTACCATCAATCCCTCATGTTCGTCCCGCTAGGTCACACATCGTACTTATCAATCCCTATGTTGGTCAGCTAGGTCACACATCGCACCATCTATCCACATGTTGGTCAGCTAGGTCACACATCGTACCATCAATCCCCATGTTGGTCAAAGCCGGGTCACACATTGTACCATCAATTATGTATGGTCAGCTAGGTGACATTGTACCATCAATGCCCATGTTGGTCAGCTACATTAAACATTGTATAATCAATCCTATATATTGGTCAGCTAGGTCACAGATCGTACCATCAATCCCTATGGTTGTCAGCTATGTCACACATCGGGCCATCAATCCCTATGTAAGTCAGCTATAGGTCACATCATCGCACATCAATCCTTATGTTGGTCAGCAAGGTCACACATCATACCATCAATCCCTATGTTGGTCAGCTACGTCACACATTGTACCATCAACCCCTAAGTTGGTCAGCTAGGTCACACATCGTACCATCAATCCCTATGTTGGTCAGCTACGTCACACATCGTACCATCAATCCCTATGTTAGTCAGCTATATTACACAATGTACCATCAATCCCTATGTTGGTCAGTTATAGGTCACACATTGTACCATCAATCCCTATGTTGGTCAGCAAGGTCACACATCATACCATCAATCCCTATGTTGGTCAGCTAGGTCACACATTGTAAAAGCAATCCCTGTGTTGGTCAGCTAGGTCACACATCGTACCATCAATCCCTATGTTGATGAGCTAAGTCACACATCGTTCCATCAATCCCTACGTTGGTCAGCTAGGTCACACATCGTACCATCAATCCCTATGTTGATCAGCTAAGTCACACATCGTACCATCAATCCCCATGTTGGTCAGCTAGGTCGCACATCCTACCATCAATCACTATGTTGGTCAGTTAGGTCACACATCGTACCATCAATCACTATGTTGGTCAGCTAGGTCACACATCGAACCATCAATCCCCATGTTGGTCAGCTAGGTCACACATCGTACCATCCATCCCTATGTTCGTCAGGTAGGTCACACATCGTACCATCAATCTCCATGTTGGTCAGCTAGGTCACATATCGTACCATCAATCACTATGTTGGTCCGCTAGGTCACACATTGTACCATCATTCCCTATGTTGGTCAGCTAGGTCACACATTGTACCATGAATCCCTGTGTTGGTCAGCTAGGTCACACATCGTACCATGAATCCCCATGTTGAACAGCTAGGTCACACATTGTACCATCAATCCCCATGTTGGTCAGCTATATTACACATTGTACCATCAATCCCTATGTTGGTCAGCTAGGTCCCACATTGTACCATCAATCCCTATGTTGTTAAACTAATTCACACGTCGTACCATCGATACCTATGTTGGTCAGCTAGGTCACACATCGTACCATCAATCCCCATGTTCGTCCGCTAGGTCACACATCGTACCATCAATCCCTATGTTGGTCAGCTAGGTCACACATCGTACCATCTATCCACATGTTGGTCAGCTAGGTCACACATCGTACCATCAATCCCCATGTTGGTCAGCTTTCGGTCACACATTGTACCATCAATATTTATGTAGGTCAGCTAGGTGACACATTGTACCATCAATGCCCATGTTGGTCAGCTACATTAAACATTGTATAATCAATCCCTATATTGGTCAGCTAGGTCACAGATCGTACCATCAATCCCTATGGTTGTCAGCTACGTCACACATCGTACCATCAATCCCTATGTAAGTCAGCTATAGGTCACACATCGTACCATCAATCCCTATGTTGGTCAGCAAGGTCACACATCATACCATCAATCCCTATGTTGGTCAGCTACGTCACACATTGTACCATCAACCCTATGTTGGTCAGCTAGGTCACACATCGTACCATCAATCCCTATGTTGGTCAGCTACGTCACACATCGTACCATCAATCCCTATGTTAGTCAGCTATATTACACAATGTACCATCAATCCCTATGTTGGTCAGCTAGGTCACACATCGTACCATCAATCCCTATGTTGGTCAGCTAGGTCACACATCGTACCATCAATCCCTATGTTGATCAGCTAAGTCACACATCGAACCATCAATCCCTATGTTGGTCAGCTAGGTCACACATCGTACCATCAATCCCTATGTTGATCAGCTAATTCACACATCGAACCATCAATCACTATGTTGGTCAGGTAGGTCACACATCGTACCATCAATCCCTATGTTGATGAGCTAAGTCACACATCGTACCATCAATCCCTATGTTGGTCAGCTAGGTCACACATCGTACCATCAATCCCTATGTTGATCAGCTAAGTCACACATCGTACCATCAATCCCCATGTTGGTCAGCTAGGTCGCACATCCTACCATCAATCACTATGTTGGTCAGTTAGGTCACACATCGTACCATCAATCACTATGTTGGTCAGCTAGGTCACACATCGAACCATCAATCCCCATGTTGGTCAGCTAGGTCACACATCGTACCATCCATCCCTATGTTCGTCAGGTAGGTCACACATCGTACCATCAATCCCCATGTTGGTCAGCTAGGTCACATATCGTACCATCAATCACTATGTTGGTCCGCTAGGTCACACATTGTACCATCATTCCCTATGTTGGTCAGCTAGGTCACACATTGTACCATCAATCCCCATGTTGAACAGCTAGGTCACACATTGTACCATCAATCCCCATGTTGGTCAGCTATATTACACATTGTACCATCAATCCCTATGTTGGTCAGCTAGGTCCCACATTGTACCATCAATCCCTATGTTGTTAAACTAATTCACACGTCGTACCATCGATACCTATGTTGGTCAGCTAGGTCACACATCGTACCATCAATCCCCATGTTCGTCCGCTAGGTCACACATCGTACCATCAATCCCTATGTTGGTCAGCTAGGTCACACATCGTACCATCTATCCACATGTTGGTCAGCTAGGTCACACATCGTACCATCAATCCCCATGTTGGTCAGCTTTCGGTCACACATTGTACCATCAATATTTATGTAGGTCAGCTAGGTGACACATTGTACCATCAATGCCCATGTTGGTCAGCTACATTAAACATTGTATAATCAATCCCTATATTGGTCAGCTAGGTCACAGATCGTACCATCAATCCCTATGGTTGTCAGCTACGTCACACATCGTACCATCAATCCCTATGTTGGTCAGCTATAGGTCACACATCGTACCATCAATCCCTATGTTGGTCAGCAAGGTCACACATCGTACCATCAATCCCTATGTTGGTCAGCTAGGTCACACATCGTACCATCAATCCCTATGTTGGTCAGCAAGGTCACACATCGTACCATCAATCCCTATATTGGTCAGCTACGTCACACATCGTACCATCAATCCCTATGTTAGTCAGCTAGGTCACACATCGTACCATCAATCCCTATGTTGGTCAGCAAGGTCACACATCGTACCATCAATCCCTATGTTGGTCAGCTAGGTCACACATTGTACCATCAATCCCTATGTTGGTCAGCTAGGTCACACATCGTACCATCAATCCCTATGTTGGTCAGCTAGGTCACACATCATACCATCAATCCCTATGTTGGTCAGCTAGGTCACACATTGTACCATCAATCCCTATGTTGGTCAGCTAGGTCACACATCGTACCATCAATCCCTATGTTGGTCAGCTACGTCACACATCGTACCATCAATCCCTATGTTGGTCCGCTAGGTGACACATTGTACCAACAATCCGTATGTTGGTCAGCTAGGTCACACATTGTACCATCAATCCCCATGTTGGTCAGCTGAGTCACACATCATACCATCAATCCCTATGTTGGTCAGCTAGGTCACACATCGTACCATCAATCCCTACGTTGGTCAACTACGTCACACATTGTACCATCAATCCCTATGTTGGTCACTTAGGTCACACATTGTACCATCAATATTTATGTAGGTCAGCTAGGTGACACATTGTACCATCAATGCCCATGTTGGTCAGCTACATTAAACATTGTATAATCAATCCCTATATTGGTCAGCTAGGTCACAGATCGTACCATCAATCCCTATGGTTGTCAGCTACGTCACACATCGTACCATCAATCCCTATGTTAGTCAGCTATAGGTCACACATCGTACCATCAATCCCTATGTTGGTCAGCAAGGTCACACATCATACCATCAATCCCTATGTTGGTCAGCTACGTCACACATTGTACCATCAATCCCTATGTTGGTCAGCTAGGTCACACATCGTACCATCAATCCCTTTGTTGGTCAGCTACGTCACACATCGTACCATCAATCCCTATGTTGGTCCGCAAGGTGACACATTGTACCAACAATCCGTATGTTGGTCAGCTAGGTCACACATCGTACCATCTATCCACATGTTCGTCAGCTAGGTAACACATCGTACCATCAATCCCTATGTTGGTTAGCTAGGTCACACATTGTACCATCAATCCGTATGTTGGTCAGCTATGTCCCACATTGTACCATCAATCCCTATGTTGGTCAGCTGAGTCACACATCGTACCATCAATCCCCATGTTGGTCAGCTAAGTCACACATCATACCATCAATCCCTATGTTGGTCAGCTAGGTCAGACATCGTACCATCAATCCCTATGTTGGTCCGCTAGGTCACACATCGTACCATCAATCCCCATGTTGGTCAGCTGAGTCACACATCGTACCATCTATCCACATGTTGGTCAGCTAGGTCACACATCATACCATCAATCCCTATGTTGGTCAGCTACGTCACACATTGTACCATCAATCCATATGTTGGTCACTTAGGTCACACATCGTACCATCAATCCCCATGTTGGTCAGCTGAGTCACACATCGTACCATCTATCCACATGTTCGTCAGCTAGGTAACACATCGTACCACCATCAATCCCTATGTTGGTCAGCTAGGTCACACATCATCGTACCATCAATCCATGTTGGTCATAAAGGTCACACATCGTACCATCAATCCCCATGTTGGTCAGCTAGGTCACACATCGTACCATCTATCCACATGTTGGTCAGCTACGTCACACATTGTACCATCAATCCCTATGTTGGTCAGCAAAGTCACACATTGTACCATCAATCCCCATGTTGGTCAGCAAGGTCACACATCGTACCATCAATCCCCATGTTGGTCAGCTGAGTCACACATCGTACCATCTATCCACATGTTCGTCAGCTAGGTAACACATCGTACCATCAATCCCCATGTTGGTCAGCTAGGTCACACATCGTACCATCAATCCACATGTTGGTCAGCTGAGTCACACATCCTACCATCTATCCACATGTTCGTCAGCTAGGTAACACATCGTACCATCAATCCCCATGTTGGTCAGCTAGGTCACACATTGTACTATCAATCCCCATGTTGGTCAGCTAGGTCACACATCGTACCATCAATCCCTATGTTGGTCAGCTAGGTCACACATCGTACCATCAATCCCTATGTTGGTCAGCTACGTCACACATTGTACCATCAATCCCTATGTTGGTCACTTAGGTCACACATCGTACCATCAATCCCCATGTTGGTCAGCTGAGTCACACATCGTACCATCTATCCACATGTTCGTCAGCTAGGTAACACATCGTACAATCAATCCCTATGTTGGTCCGCTAGGTCACACATCGTACAATCAATCCCTATGTTGGTCCGCTAGGTCACACATCATCCCATCAATCCCCATGTTGGTCAGCTAGGTCACACATCGTACCATCTATCCACATGTTGGTCCGCTACGTCACACATTGTACCATCAATCCCTATGTTGGTCAGCAAAGTCACACATTGTACCTTCAATCCCCATGTTGGTCAGCAAGGTCACACATCGTACCATCAATCCCTATGTTGGTCAGCTACGTCACACATTGTACCATCAATCCCTATGTTGGTCAGCTAGGTCACACATCGTACCATCAATCCCCATGTTGGTCAGCTAGGTCACACATCGTACCATCTATCCACATGTTGGTCAGCTAGGTCACACATCGTACCATCAATCCCTATGTTGGTCAGCTAGGTCACACATTGTACCATCAATCCCTATGTTGGTCAGTTAGGTCACACATCGTACCATCAATCCCTTTGTTGGTCAGCTAGGTCACACATCGTACCATCAATCCCCATGTTGGTCAGCTAGGTCACACATCGTACCATCTATCCACATGTTGGTCAGCTAGGTCACACATCGTACCATCAATCCCTATGTTGGTCAGCTAGGTCACACATTGTACCATCAATCCCTATGTCGGTCAGCTATAGGTCACACATCGTACCATCAATCCCTATGTTGGTCGGCTAGGTCACACATCATACCATCAATCCCTATGTACCATCAATCCACATGTTGGTCAGCTAGGTCACACATCGTACCATCAATCCCTATGTTGGTCAGCTAGGTCACACATCGTACCATCAATCCACATGTTGGAAGGCTAGGTCAGCTATAGCTCATTCAAACACATGCAAGGCAAGTTTCTACCATGTTGTACTGGGGGACCCTATTGCCTTCGATTAACAGGGATAGTGTTATCATTCAAACACATGCAAGGCAAGTTTCTGCCATGTTGTACTGGGGGACCCTATTGCCCTCGATTCACAGGGATAGGTTATCATTCAAACAGATGTAAGGCAAGTTTCTGCCAGTTTCACGCACCTCCAAAAAAGTTTTGAATAACTTCTGAAGAGGATTCCACCATCTGAATATAGACGGGGTATGTCTCTTGGTTTGAATGCCTGACATCCATCATGAGCTTTTGAAGGTTGGGATGTTCCACGGCCAGGTCAGCAACAGCTTCAGTGTAGTCCTTGGTTCCCAGCTTCCGCGACAGCTGATTCATCACCTCACTGAAGGTCTGGCAGTAGCGGCGCCGCACATCTGAAAGATCCATGATCGCAAATCACATGCTATGTCCCAATCATTAGCATCAAATTACATAAAGCCTTGAAAGTAATACCTGGTATTAATCAACATATCTGTTTGTTTATTGATGACATATTTCATTTATTTCATGCCATGTAAATTCCCTATGTTACATGTTACGTCAATATATTTTTAGCACTCACGTGGTGATTTAGCAGTACTTTTATGCATTACTACAGAATGCCTTTGAGAAAGGGATCAAATAGAACATAGTACTCACTTATGATTGACAATCATAAATCAACTGTAATCATACATGTGACCCCCGTTATAACGGCAAAATGCACTCGTTCTCTCAGTTGAATTCTCAGATATTAATTTGTTAGTGTTGGGTGAGTAATATAGAAAATACTAAACAATGTACTGTGTAATACCATATTTATGAAACTCGTGAATGGTACTGGTATCTGACTTGCTTTCGCTTGTTAGATACCAAGCCAATCACTCATTTCATCAATACGGAATTACACAGGACATTTTTAAGTTTTCTATCTATATATGTCACCTGTAAGGTTCTCTACAGACAGTCCTTGTGTCTGCTTATCTCACCTGTAAGGTTCTCTACAGACAGTCCTTGTGTCTGGTTATGTCACCTGTAAGGTTCTCTACAGACAGTCCTTGTGTCTGGTCATCTCACCTGTAAGGTTCTCTACAGACAGTCCTTGTGTCTGGTTATCTCACCTGTAAGGATCTCTACAGACAGTCCTTGTGTCTGGTTATCTCACCTGTAAGGATCTCTACAGACAGTCCTTGTGTCTGGTTATCTCACCTGTAAGGTTCTCTACAGACAGTCCTTGTGTCTGGTTATCTCACCTGTAAGATTCTCTACAGACAGTCAATGTGTCTGGTTATCTCACCTGTAAGGTTCTCTACAGACAGTCCTTGTGTCTGGTCATCTCACCTGTAAGGTTGTCTACAGACAGTCCTTGTGTCTGCTTATCTCACCTGTAAGGTTCTCTACAGACAGTCCTTGTGTCTGCTTATCTCACCTGTAAGGTTCTCTACAGACAATCTTTGTGTCTGGTTATCTCACCTGTAAGGTTCTCTACAGACAGTCCTTGTGTCTGGTTATCTCACCTGTAAGGTTCTCTACAGAGTCCTTGTGTCTGGTTATCTCACCTGTAAGGTTCTCTACAGACAGTCCTTGTGTCTGGTTATCTCACCTGTAAGGTTCTCTATGCTGAAGTACACCTCCAGACAGTCCTTGAGGATACCGTGGATGTTGTATCTGCGTTGTGGTGCATCAAACTGCACCATGTGTCGACGCATCAGAGGAGACAGTGTCCTGTCTTTCACAGATTGAAGGGAGGTCTCATCTACAAGATAAAATGTTAACATAATGAAGAGTAGGACATTCCTTGAAAGGCTCCTATTAATGATACCAAATACCCTGGGCTCAGAATCTTATTGCACACACACAATGCTCCAGAACCAAATACCCTGGGCTCAGAATCTGATAGCACACACACAATGCTCCAGAACCAAACAACTGGGGCTCCCAATCTGATAGCACACACACACAATGCTCCAGAACCAAATACCCTGGGCTCAGAATCTGATAGCACACACACAATGCTCCAGAACCAAACAACTGGGGCTCCCAATCTGATAGCACACACACAATGCTCCAGAACCAAACAACTGGGGCTCCCAATCTGATAGCACACACACAATGCTCCAGAACCAAACAACTGGGGCTCCCAATCCGATAGCACACACACAATGCTCCAGAACCAAACAACTGGGGCTCCCAATCCGATAGCACACACACAATGCTCCAGAACCAAACAACTGGGGCTCCCAATCTGATAGCACACACACAATGCTCCAGAACCAAACAACTGAGGCTCCCAATCTGATAGCACACACACACAATTTTCCAGAACCAAATACCCTGGGTTCAGAATCTTATTGCACACACACAATGCTCCAGAACCAAACAACTGGGGCTCCCAATCTGATAGCACACACACAATGCTCTAGAACCAAACGACTGGGGCTCCCAATCTGATAGCACACACAAAGCTCCCAGACAACAGCCATCCAACACCCAGACACCTGCCATCCAACACCCAGACACCTGCCATCCAACACCCAGACACATGCCATCCAACACCTGCCATCAAACACCAAGACACCTGTCATCAAACACCCAGACAACTGCCATCCAACACCAAGACACCAGCCATCCAACACCCAGACACCTGCCATCCAACACCCAGTCACCTGCCATCCAACACCCAGACACCTGCCATCCAACACCTGCTATCCAACACCCAGACACCTGTCATCAGACACCAAGACACCAGCATTCACTGACACAGGGACCTGACACCAGGTCCAGTAATGCTAGAACTCCAGACTGTATTCAAACAAATGGATACAGATGGGTATGTTTAGGAGCGCCAGAGACAACCCCCAACTTACCCAGCATACGCTGAGCATGTCCAGTAGTGAAGGAGCCTGGGATATATCCCAACACAGCCAGTCTTTGTCGGAACACCTCGGACAACCTTCTGATAAAGTTCCTGTACACTGGCCCTGTCAACAGACATTCAGAGATTTCAACCATGCAATAACTGCAAGTATTGTACACCTCAGGAAAGATAACGCTTCATTTGCTGTCCAGATTCCCCATAAAAAGCACCTGCAGTGAAAAATAGAATTTATCTACTCACTAGTCTTTTAGCTTTGTAGAGAAAATGATGGCATGACCAATCCAAAGAGAAAAAGGACATAATAATTGTTTTTAGGTAATCTTACAATTTGCCAAAGATGTGCACTTTCTCAAAAATAAAAGGTGGATATCTACACTCCTGAAACACATGATCTAGCTAGGACACATGATCTAACTGGGAACACATGAGGTGACTGGGAACACATGATCTAGCTAGGACACATGATCAAACTGGGACACATGATCTAACTGGGAACACATGATCTAACTGGTAACATGTGAGGTGACTGGGAACACCTGATCTAGCTAGGACACATGATCTAACTGGGAACACATGATCTAACTGGGAACACATGAACTAAGTGGGACACATGATCTAACTGGGAACACGTGATCTAGCTAGGACACATGAACTAACTGGAAACACATGATCTAGCTGGGACACATGAACTAACTGGGACACATAATCTAACTGGGAACACGTGAGGTGACTGGGAACACATGATCTAACTGGGAACACCTGATCTAGCTGGGAACACCTGATTTAACTGGGAACACCTGATTTAACTGGGAACACCTGATCTAGCTGGGACACATGAACTAACTGGGACACATGAACTAACTGGGACACATGAACTAACTGGGAACACGTGAGGTGACTGGGAACACCTGATCTAGCTGGGAACACCTGATCTAGCTGGGAACACCTGATCTAGCTGGGACACATGATCTAGCTGGGAACACCTGATCTAGCTGGGGCACATGATCTAGCTGGGAACACCTGATCTAGCTAGGACACATGAACTAACTGGGAACAAATGATCTAGCTAGAACACATAAGGTGACTGGGGAACACATGAACTAGCTGGGACATGAACTGGCTAAGGACACACGAGCTATAAACATATTAAGGAAGAGGGTTTTTATGGATGTCAACTTCTTTATTGTGAAGAACACTACGTTTCGGAGTATATCCTTATTCCTACATCAGGTGAATGAAAGCTGTAAAGCACAGTGCATTTCTCTTGTGTATCACTTATACATGCCACTTAAACACTTGAGCTAAACACACATCAGTTAGCTAGGGGCACATGTGCTGGTTTGGGGCACATGGGCTAGTCAAATACTTCAGGGGTCTAGGGACCAGTCTCACCGATCTGTTCCTCTTCTGAGTAGCTGCAGTCTCTACTCCAGGCCTCCAGGCGGACCTGCGTGCCATCTGAAATGTCATTAGGGTGAGTGAGTGAGAGCATGCTGTAGTGTTCCAGCTATATCATGGCAATCTGGAAAGGCTGATCTGGGTGCTGTTGTACAAAACAACCTTAGTGCTAAGACTACCTTGTCCATGTTAAGGTATGGGAGTTACTGTCACCTTAGTGCTAAGACTACCTTGTCCATGTTGAGGTATGGGAGTTACTGTCACCTTAGTGCTAAGACTACCTTGTCCATGTTAAGGTATGGGGGAGTTACTGTCACCTTAGTGCTAAGACCCTTAGTGCTAAGACTACCTTTGTCCATAGTAAGGTATGGGGGTTACTGTCACCTTAGTGCTAAGACTACCTTGTCCATAGTAAGGTATGGGAGTTACTGTCACCTTAGTGCTAAGACTACCTTGTCCATAGTAAGGTATGGGAGTTACTGTCACCTTAGTGCTAAGACTACCTTGTCCATGTTAAGGTATGGGAGTTACCCGTCACCTTAGCTAAGACTACCTTGTCCATGTTAAGGTATGGGAGTTACTGTCACCTTAGTGCTAAGACTACCTTGTCCATGTTGAGGTATGGGAGTTACCGTCACCTTAAGTCCATAGGCTAAGGTGCTAAGACTACCTTGTCCATGTTAAGGTATGGGGTTACTGTCACCTTAGTGCTAAGACTACCATGTGGTATAATGGGGTTACTGTCACCTTAGTCTAAGACTACCTTGTCCCATAGTAAGGTATGGGGGTTACTGTCACCTTAGTGCTAAGACTACCTTGTCCATAGTAAGGTATGGGGGTTACTGTCACCTTAGTGCTAAGACTACCTTGTCCATAGTAAGGTATGGGGTTACTGTCACCTTAGTGCTAAGACTACCTTGTCCATAGTAAGGTATGGGGGTTACTGTCACCTTAATGCTAAGACTACCTTGTCCATGTTGAGGTATGGGGGTTACTGTCACCTTAGTGCTAAGACTACCTTGTCCATGTTGAGGTATGGGAGTTACTGTCACCTTAAGCTAAAGACTACCTTGTCCATGTTAAGGTATGGGGTTACTGTCTACCCATGTCCATAAAGGTATGGGTGCTAAGACTACCTTGTCCATGTTAAGGTATGGGGGTTACTGTCACCTTAGTGCTAAAGACTACCTTGTCCATGTGTTAAGGTATGGGGTTACTGTCACCTTAGTGCTAAGACTACCTTGTCCATAGTAAGGTAAGGTATGGGGTTACTGTCACCTTAGTGCTAAGACTACCTTGTCCATAGTAAGGTATGGGGTTACTGTCACCTTAGTGCTAAGACTAGTGCCATAGTAGGGTACTGTCACCTTAGTCCATCGTACCTTGTATAGGGGGGGGTTACTGTCACCTTAGTGCTAAGACTACCTTGTCCAGTAGGGTTACTGTCACCTTAGTGCTAAAGACTAACTGTCCATAGTAAAGGTATGGGGTTACTGTCACCTTAGTGCTAAGACTACCTTGTCCATAGTAAGGTATGGGGTTACTGTCACCTTAGTGCTAAGACTACCTTGTCCATAGTAAGGTATGGGGTTACTGTCACCTTAGTGCTAAGACTACTACCTTGTCCACTAAGTAAGGTATGGGGGTTACTGTCACCTTAGCTAAGACTACCTGCTAAGACTACCTTGTCCATAGTAAGGTATGGGGGTTACTGTCACCTTAGTGCTAAGACTACCTTGTCCATAGTAAGGTATGGGGGTTACTGTCACCTTAGAGCTAAGACTACCTTGTCCATAGTAAGGTATGGGGGTTACTGTCACCTTAGCGCTAAGACTACCTTGTCCATAGTAAGGTATGGGGTTACTGTCACCTTAAGCTAAGACTACCTTGTCCATGTTAAGGTATGGGGGTTACTGTCACCTTAGCTAAGACTACCTTAAGTCCATGTTAAGGTATGGGAAGTTACTGTCACCTTAGTGCTAAGACTACCTTGTCCATGTTAAGGTATGGGGTTACTGTCACCTTAGTGCTAAGACTACCTTGTCCATGTTAAGGTATGGGGTTACTGTCACCTTAGTGCTAAGACTACCTTGTCCATGTTAAGGTATGGGGGTTACTGTCACCTTAGTGCTAAGACTACCTTAAAGTCCATGTTAAGGTATGGGGTTACTGTCACCTTAGTGCTAAGACTACCTTGTCCATAGTAAGGTATGGGAGTTACTGTCACCTTAGTGCTAAGACTACCTTGTCCATAGTAAGGTATGGGGTTACTGTCACCTTATAGTGCTAAGACTACCTTGTCCATAGTAAAGGTATGGGGTTACTGTCACCTTTCCAGTGGTATAAAGACTACCTTGTCCATAGTAAGGTATGGGGTTACTGTCACCTTAGCGCTAAGACTACCTTGTCCATAGTAAGGTATGGGGGTTACTGTCACCTTAGCCATGCCAAGACTACCTTGTCCATAGTAAGGTATGGGGAGTTACTGTCACCTTAGTGCTAAGACTACCTAACCGTCCATTAGCTGCTATGGACACTACTGCAAGTCCTTAGCGCTAAGACCTACCTTAGTAAGTCCATCAGGGTATGGGACTTACTGTCACCTTAAAGGTATGGGGGTAGTTACTGTCACCTTAGTGCTAAGACTACCTTGTCCATGTTAAGGTATGGGAGTTACCGTCACCTTAGTGCTAAGACTACCTTAAGTCCATGTTAAGGTATGGGAGTTACCGTCACCTTAGTGCTAAGACTACCTTAAGTCCATGTTAAGGTATGGGGTTACTGTCACCTTAGCGCTAAGATTACCCCTTGTCCATAGTAAGGTATGGGGGTTACCGTCACCTTAGTGCTAAGACTACCTTGTCCATAGTCGAGGTATGGGAGTTACTGTCACCTTAGTGCTAAGACTACCTTGTCCATGTTGAGGTATTGGGTTACTGTCACCTTAAGGCTAAGACTACCTTGTCCATGTTGAGGTATGGGAGTTACTGTCACCTTAGTGCTAAGACTACCTTGTCCATGTTGAGGTATGGGGTTACCGTCACCTTAGTGCTAAGACTACCTTGTCCATGTTAAGGTATGGGAGTTACCGTCACCTTAGTGCTAAGACTACCTTGTCCATGTTGAGGTTACTGTCACCTTAGGGAGTTACCGTCACCTACCTTGTCCAGTGCTAAGACTACCTTGTCCATGTTGAGGTATGGGAGTTACTGTCACCTTAGTGCTAAGACTACCTTGTCCATGTTGAGGTATGGGAGTTACCGTCACCTTAGTGCTAAGACTACCATGTCCATGTTGAGGTATGGGAGTTTACTGTCACCTTAAGCTAAGACTACCTTGTCCATGTTAAGGTATGGGAGTTACCCGTCACCTTAAAGCTAAGACCACCTTGTCCATGTTAAGGTATGGGGTTACTGTCATCTTAATGTTACTTGCTAAGACTACCTTGTCCATGTTGAGGTATGGGAGTTACCGTCACCTTAGTGCTAAGACTACCTTGTCCATGTTGAGGTATTGGAGTTACTGTCACCTTAAGTGCTAAGACTACCTTGTCCATGTTGAGGGAAGCCACCATGGGAGTTACTGTCACCTTAGTGCTTAAGACTCACCTTGTCCATGTTGAGGTATGGGGAGTTACCATCACCTTAAGCGCTAAGACTACCTTGTCCATGTTGAGGTATGGGAGTTACCCGTCAGCTTAGTGCTAAGACTACCTTGTCCATGTTGGGTATGGGAGTTACTGTCACCTTAGTGCTAAGACTACCTTGTCCATGTTGAGGTATGGGAGTTACCGTCACCTTAGTGCTAAGACTACCTTGTCCATGTTGAGGTATGGGAGTTACCGTCATCTTAGTGCTAAGACTACCTTGTCCATGTTGAGGTATGGGAGTTACTGTCACCTTAGTGCTAAGACTACCTTTTCCATGTTGAGATATGGGAGTTACTGTCACCTTAGTGCTAAGACTACCTTGTCCATGTTAAGGTATGGGAGTTACCGTCACCTTAGTGCTAAGACTACCTTGTCCATGTTGAGATATGGGAGTTACTGTCACCTTAGTGCTAAGACTACCTTGTCCATGTTGAGGTATGGGAGTTACTGTCACCTTAGTGCTAAGACTACCATGTCCATGTTGAGGTATGGGAGTTACTGTCACCTTAGCTAAGACTACCTTGTCCATGTTAAGGTATGGGAGTTACATGCCGTCACCTTTAGTGCTAAGACCACCTTGTCCATGTTAGGTATGGGAGTTACTGTCACCTTAAGCTAAGACTACCTTGTCCATGTTAAGGTATGGGAGTTACTGTCACCTTAGTGCTAAGACTACCTTGTCCATGTTGAGGTATGGGAGTAACTGTCACCTTAGTGCTAAGACTACCTTGTCCATAGTAGCATTGTGGGGGTTACTGTCACCTTAGTGCTAAGACTACCTTGTCCATAGTAAGGTATGGGTTACTGTCACCTATAGTGCTAAGACTACCTTGTCCATAGTAGGTATGGGGTTACTGTCACCTAAGTGATAAAGACTACCTTGTCCATAGTATAGGTATGGGGGTTACTGTCACCTTAGAGCTAAGACTACATTGTCCATAGTAAGGTATGGGGTTACTGTCACCTTAGTGCTAGACTACCTTGTCCATAGTAAGGTATGGGGGTTACTGTCACCTTATAGCTAAGACTACCTTGTCCATAGTAAAGGTATGGGGGTTACTGTCACCTTAGCGCTAAGACTACCTTGTCCATAGTAAGGTATGGGGGTTACTGTCAACTGAGCACTAAGACTACCTTGTCCATAGTAAGGTATGGGGGTTACTGTCACCTTAGTGCTAAGACTACCTTATCCATAGTAAGGTATGGGGGTTACTGTCACCTTAGCGCTAAGACTACCTTGTCCATGTTGAGGTATGGGAGTTACCGTCACCTTAGTGCTAAGACTACCTTAAGTCCATGTTAAGGTATGGGAGTGACCGTCACCTTAGCTCTAAGTTTGTATAACGCCACCCTGGGCCACACAAACCAGTGACAAGGCACATGCATCATGCCACACCTTTGGAGGCACACA